GGATGAATCTGTTTGTTTTCTTGGCAGTCCATGGTACATTCAATACTCTTCTCCAGCACCACAGCTCAAAGGCATCAATTCTCCTTCTGTCCTTCCTAGTCATTGTCCAACTCTGTGATGCATAACAAGTAATTGCAAAGACCATAGCCTGTATCAGATGCACCTTAGTCTCCAGAGTGACACCATTGCTCTTAAGTACTTTGGAGAGGTCCCTAACAGCAGACTTTCCCATCGCAATATTTTTTTATTTCCTGGCTATTGGTGCCGAGAATATTGACCATAGAGCCAAGCAGACTAAAGTTGTTAATCTCAATCTCTTCACCATCCATCCTGATGATACCAATTGGTCCAGGGATGAGAATCTTTGTCTTCTGGACATTGAGCCTCAATCCATTCTGAAGGCTGCCGTCCTTGACCCTCTGTAGCAAGCATTTCAGGTCCTCCTCAGTTTCAGCAAGCAGGGTTGTGTCATCTGCATAACACAGATTGTTAATAGATCTTCCACCAATCCTGACACCACACTTCTCCTCACAGAGCCCAGCCTCTCAGATAATCTGCTCTGCATACAGGTTGAAAAGTTATGGAGATAGGACACATCCCTGGCATACACCCTTCCCAATTTTGAACCATGCAGTGTTTCCTTGTTCTGTTCTGACAGCTGCCTCTTGGTCCAAGTATAGTTTCCACATCAGCATGATTAAGTGTTCTGGGATTCCCATTCTTCTCAGAGTCATCCACAGTTTGTTATGTTCCACACAGTCAAACGCCTTTGCATAATCAATTAAACACAGATAGACATTCCTCTGGTACTTCCTGCATTTACCTAAGACCCATATAACATTAGCTACAGTATCCCCAATACCACGACCCCTTCTAAACCCAGCCTGGACTTCTGGCAGTTCTCTACTGATATGCTGTTCCAGTCATTTTTTGTTAATCTTCAGTAGAATCTTGCTTGCATGTGAAATCAGTGATACTGATTCTGTTGGGTCACCCTTCTTTGGAATGGGAATAAATATAGATCTCTTCCAGTCAATTGGCTAAGTGGTTGTTCTCCAAATTTCTTGGCACAACTTGGTGAGCACATCCAGGGCAGCATCTGTTAGCTGAAGTACGTCAATTGGTATACCATTTATTCCTGGGGCCTTATTTTTTGCTATTTCCTTCAAAGCAGCTTGAACTTCTTTCTTCATCACCAT